AGAAAGAAATGAAAGAAATGAAAGTGTTAATACTAAAGATATATTTTATTCGATTTCTTTATTTCAGATGGCTGGAAGTTTTACGCAGCACTACCCAGACCCAAGATTTTAAAAATATACATGCTACCACTAATAATTGATTGATATATGTATAATAGTTTTTAATACAAAATTGTCATTGGAAACTAGTTTTCTTGAAACTGTTTTTAAAACACTACTACTGTGCAATTTGAGGTTATGTTTTCAAATTTTTTTGTAAAAAACAAAGAAACAAGATTCTAATTGGTCAAACTTTAAGTGCCTTAAAGTATTTTTTTAAAAAATATTAACAAAAATTAAATATAATTTTATTAAAAAATCAAAAAACTATGTATAATTTTTATAACAAACTATTTTATTATATGACAAGTTTAGTTAAACTTGGTTTAAACTAAATTTTGTGGAAATTTTTTTATTATGAATGTCTTTTAGTAAACTTGATCTTAGATTTGTATATAAAAATTTTCAATATTTATATATTTTTTATAAAATGTTTTTTTTAATGTCTTTTTTGCTCCAAATTTTGTTTAAAATTTCAAATTTTATATGTATGTTGTCTTCTCTATTAAGTTAAACTTGTCATAAATAAAGAAAAATTTATATAAATTTTTTAAAAAATATAAATATTTAAACCTTAGTATTATGTATTCATTATAACAAATATTCTAAAAATATAAAAAAATCAAAAACAAATATATTAACATAACATTTATTAAAACAAAAGATGCCTTAAACGAAAACAAAATTTATTTTTAAACAAATCTATATTTTTCTACAAAAATATATATGTATCTACAAATATATATTTAATAAAAACCATTAACCACTTCTATAAAGTCTTTATTGAATTAAGTATTATTTTTTTTTTGTATGTACTGTAGTTAGAATGTCTCTTATTAACAAAATAAAATGCAAAATAAAAAGAAATTTATACATTTTTAATTAAAAATTAAATTACAGCATTTATTGTAAAATACAAATACAAATCATAAATACTTACTATGTACTCTTCTTAATAAATAGGAAAATAAACTATTCAATAAAACAACAATTAATATATTTTTTTAATTTACTGGGATTCAGTTTTGATAAAGTCTTTAGAAAAGTATACCCAGTGGTGCCTGGGTTATAAATTTGTTGACATGTGTAATCTTTGCCAGATGAAGGAAACTAGCAGAAAACTGGTGATTTGTTGCCGGGAGTTAGAGACAGTTTCTAGTTCCAAAACTACAAACATTCATTATAACATGGCAAAGCCCAATAATGGCGTCTTCCATTCCATATCTTAGGAATTCAGGACAAAGCTTCCTAAGTAACTTTTATTGTTTCATTTTTAATCATTCGGTCGAGAACTATCGATCTAAGTCATTATCTTTAAAAATTATTCAGTGGAGTCTGTTCACTAGTCTATGTACTAGTTTATTAGTTAGTCTATAGACTTGTCCGTTAATTAGTTTATTTGCTAGCCAATTTACATGTCTAGTAACCATTCTATGAACTAGTCTGTTGCCCAGAATAGTATATTCTCTATTATATTGTCCAGTCTATAGACTCATGTACGGACTAGGCTATGGACATTCTATTAACTAGTCTATGGACTTGTATCTTGACTTTTCTATTGTTCAGTTTATGGCCTAATGTATGAACTAGTTTATTGACTATCCTATAGTATAGTTCAGAGATTAATCTATTGTCTAGTCTCTTGAGTCTATTCTAGGGATTAGTATAGTATAGCATATTAACTTTCCTATTACACAGTCTATAGATCAGTCTATTGACTAGTCTATGCATTAGGTAATTGGGTAGTCTATGGGCTTGTCCACTAATTAGTTTATTTAGGAATCTATTTAAAAACTTGTCTATGAATCTTTTTTTAGTCTATTGACCATTCTATGATGTAGTCTGTTGCTCTCTTGTGAAGTCTGTGGAGCAGTCTATAGAATACTGTATTGATTAGTATGTGGCCTATTCCTTTAACTAGTCTATGGACTGGCATCCAGACTTTTCTATTGTTCAGTCTATTGACTAATCAAGACTGATTTAGTGACTAGTTCATGGCCTATTATATTGACTATTCTATAGTACAATCCAGAGACTAGTTTATTGATTAGTATTTTCAGATTTCTAATGCTCATGGGCTAATTTATTGACTAGTCTATTGATTAGTATATAGACAAGTCTATGGATTAGTATGCGGACTAATCCATTAACTAATCTATAGTCTATGCACTAGCCTATTGACTAATATATGCACTAGTCAATGGACTAACCCATTGATTAGTCTATGGACAAGCCTATTCAGTAATTCCTCTAGTCAATACTCTAGTCTATTATCTAATCTTTACGGGCTATGGACATTCTATTAATTAGTCTATGGACTTGTATCTTGACTTTTCTATTGTTCAGTTTATGGCCTAATGTATGAACTAGTTTATTGACTATCCTATAGTATAGTTCAGAGATTAATCTATTGTCTAGTCTCTTGAGTCTATTCTAGGGATTAGTATAGTATAGCATATTAACTTTCCTATTGCACAGTATATAAATCAGTCTATTGACTAGTCTATGCATTAGGTAGTTGGTTAGTCTATGGGCTTGTCCACTAATTAGTTCATTCAGGAATCTATTTAAAAACTTGTCTATGAATCTTTTTTAGTCTATTGACCATTCTATGATGTAGTCTGTTGCTCTCTTGTGAAGTCTGTGGAGCAGTCTATAGAATACTGTATTGATTAGTATGTGGCCTATTCCTTTAACTAGTCTATGGACTGGTATCCAGACTTTTCTATTGTTCAGTCTATTGACTAATCAAGACTGATTTAGTGACTAGTTCATGGCCTATTATATTGACTATTCTATAGTACAATCCAGAGACTAGCTTATTGATTAGTATTTTGAGTTTTCTAATGCTCATGGGCTAATTTATTGACTAGTCTATTGATTAGTATATAGACAAGTCTATGGATTAGTATACGGACTAATCCATTAACTAATCTATAGTCTATGCACTAGCCTATTGACTAATATATGCACTAATCAATGGACTAACCCATTGATTAGTTTATGGACATGACTATTCAGTAGTTTGAATAGTCTGTAGACCAGTCAATAGACTAGTCTATGGACTAGTCTATTATCTAATCTGTTGTCTTGTCTATTGACCGGTCCATTAATTAGTATAGTGTGTTGACTAGTTTATGGACTAGTCTATTGTCTAATCTCTTGTATAGTCTATTGACCAGTCTATTAATTTGTCTAGTGAATTGACTTGTTTATGGATTAGTCTATAGACTAACCCATTAACTAGCCTATTGACTAGTATATTGACTTTTCTATTGCCCAATCTATAGACCAGTTCATTGACTAGCTTATGGACTAGTCTTTGAATTAGTCTATTGTTTAGTATACACACTAGTCTGTTGTCTAGTTTATTGCATCTTTGGACCTAATTCAGTCTAATCACCAGTACATATATGATCAATCTATTAAGTAGTATGTTGTCGTTTCTATTGTTCAGTCCATGAATTTATCCAGGCTATAGACTAGTCTGTGAACTAGTATCTTGTAGTTTCTATTTCTCAGTCTATGTCAGTCTAGTCTCTTGTCGGATATTCTCCGGTAATTCAGTGAAGTCTACTGACTAGCCTATGGAGGTTGTTTATTAATCACCTCAATCGCCAATAGATGTGAAATTTTTGTTCCCTTGAAATTTTCATTCACCTTTAAGGAAAAATTTCTATTGTGAACTTGCTGTGAACAATTCATTCACAATAGTTGATTTTGTATGCAACAGCTGTTCATAGTTTACAAAATTGCATCAACAAACAAATTTCACAACAGGGGAATGTTTTTCACTTCAAAATAGTTAGTGAACGAAAAAAGTGAAAAGGAAACATATTTCACGTGAAATATTGATTGGCGATAGGGGTGAATATCTCTATGTACCAGTCCCTTGCTTACTTAATTAACATGTTTATTGATTTGTCTAAGAATTAGTCTATGGACTTCGTCTAGTGATTAATATATACTACTAACTACTTCTTATGCAAACATAAACAAAACATCAGTTATCTAGATTAAAAGATTTATTTAATTTTATATTTTTTTAGATTTTAAGTTTATTGATTTCTTATCATTTTATGTTTTTTGTTTTTTACTTCTTTTTTTTGCCATATAATTTAATAATGCTTTGCTTCTGTTTTTATTTTTATTTTTTTTTTAATTACATTTATAATAATAGTAATTATAAATTTAAAACATAATTCTAAGTTTTAAGTAGAGAAATAATTTAATGTTTAGAAAAATGTTAAAAAAAGAGAAAACAGAAAAAAATAATTTAAAATAAAAAAGGGAAAACAATAATGAGTGCTAAGATCAAAAAAAAACTTAAGAAACAAAACTAATTATTAAAAAAAAATTAAGAAAAACTAAAGAATATTAAAAATTAAATCCTGAGTAGGATATACAAACATGAGAGAGAGTGAAAGAAAGAAAGAAAGAAAGAAAGAAAAAAAGATCTAGTTTAAACTTTAAATGATTTCTTTTTAAAAGAATTGAGAATGAGCAAAATTGTTAAACAAAAAATACCATGAATATTATAAATATCAATAGGAATTTAATTGAATTGAGAAAAAACCAACTATAATCATAATCAAGTAAATAATGACCACAAAATGTTTATTATTTTTTAAATATATATATTTTGTTTTTTGTATTTTTTTTTTTAATTTTTTAATATATTTAAACATTAATATTTTTATGTTTGTTTTTTTATTTTAATTTTAATTTTATTTTTAAATGTATTTTGTTTAATGTAGATTTATAAGAGTGTGTGTGTTGTTTAGAGGTTGTTTGTTTTGTTTTTTTTTTTTTTTTGGAAATAATGATATTTAATTAGTTTATGTTTAATTTAATTCTCTTTTACTTTCAATTAAAACAATGAGTTTTTAATTCATATTTAGTTTTTTTTGCTTTGTTATTTTTTATCTTTAATTTAATTTATTTTATTATTTTGAATGCTGCTTCTCTGCAGTTGCACACATAATATTTTAAATATTGCTAATAAAAAAGGACGAGGATTTGTTTATAGGAGGAGAGCAGGAGGAGTTAAGAAAATAGGAAAACTAAGTAAAAAGCTGCTTTTACAAATTTAAACCATTTCCATTACTATTGATCGTTTTGTTTGTTTTACGAATTTCGATTTTTTTTATTCTTGCAACATTTCTACTGAAATGATTTTTTTCATTTACTTATTACAATTCTCTTGCTTCCTTTTTCTCATTTGTTTGATGTGTTTGAATGTGTGTAGTTTTAGCTGTTGGTTGGTTTGTTTGTTTTTATAAAAAGGAAATGGTTGCTGTTATTTTTGCTCTTGTTTTTGTTGTTGTTGTTGATGTGAATTGAGTATGATGAACTCCAGGTGTACGTACATGTTGTTGTTGGTTTTGTTTAAGATTAATTTTCATTAAATTAAAGGCTTTAACGGCTGCGGCGGCGGCGGATGGCTAGTCAATGAAACTTTGTTCGACACAAGCTTTCACTCGTTTCTCGTATTCACGACGATTTTCCTTGTAAAGTTGGGCAGCTGTTGAATTAGCTGGAGAATTTGGATTTGGATCACTCAACAGAGACTGAAATATAGAAAATATAATATAAAGAATTCAGATTAAAAACTATTGCATAATGAATGTTTCTTAATGAAATCTAGTTCTAGTTCTGCTCAAGTTCTGTCTAGTTCTGTTCTAGTTCTGTTCTAGTTCTGTTCTAGTTCTGTTCTAGTTCTGTTCTAGTTCTGTTCTAGTTCTGTTCTAGTTCTGTTCTAGTTCTGTCTAGTTCTGTTCTAGTTCTGTTCTAGTTCTGTTCTAGTTCTGTTCTAGTTCTGTTCTAGTTCTGTTCTAGTTCTGTTCTAGTTCTGTTCTAGTTCTGTTCTAGTTCTGTTCTAATTCTGTTCTAGTTCTGTTCTAGTTCTGTTCTAGTTCTGTTCTAGTTCTGTTCTAGTTCTGTTCTAGTTCTGTTCTAGTTCTGTTCTAGTTTGTTCCAGTTCTGTTCAGTTCTGTTCTAGTTCTGTTCTAGTTCTGTTCTAGTTCTGTTCTAGTTCTGTTCTAGTTCTGTTCTAGATCTGTTCTAGTTTGTTCTAGTTCTGTTCTAGTTCTGTTCTAGTTCTGTTCTAGTTCTGTTCTAGTTCTGTTCTAGTTCTGTTCTAGTTCTGTTCTAGTTCTGTTCTAGTTCTGTTATGGTTCTGTTCTGGTTCTGTTCTAGTTCTGTTCTAGTTCTGTTCTAGTTCTGTTCTAGTTCTGTTCTAGTTCTGTTCTAGTTCTGTTCTAGTTCTGTTCTAGTTCTGTTCTAGTTCTGTTCTAGTTCTGTTCTAGTTCTGTTCTAGTTCTGTTCTAGTTCTGTTCTAGTTCTGTTCTAGTTCTGTTCTAGTTCTGTTCTAGTTCTGTTCTAGTTCTGTTCTAGTTCTGTTCTAGTTCTGTTCTAGTTCTGTTCTAGTTCTGTTCTAGTTCTGTTAGTTCTATTCTAGTTCGGTTCTAGTTTCTGTTCGAGTTCTGTTCTAGTTCTGTTCTAGTTCTTTCCTAGTTCTGTTCTAGTTCTGTTCTAGTTCTGTTCTGTTCTGTTCTAGTTTCTGTTTCTAGTTCTTGTTCTAGTTCTGTTCTAGTTCTGTTTCTAGTTCTGTTCTAGTTCTGTTTCTAGTTTCTGTTCTAGTTCTGTTCTAGTTCTGTTCTAGTTCTGTTCTAGTTCTGTTCTAGTTCTGTTCTAGTTCTGTCTAGTTCTGTTCTAGTTCTGTTCTGTTCTGTTCTATTCCTAGTTCTGTTCTAGTTTCTAGTTCTGTTCTAGTTCTGTTCTAGTTTCTGTTCTAGTTCTGTTCTATTCTGTCTAGTTCTGTTCTAGTTCTGTTTGTTCTGTTCTAGTTCTGTTCTAGTTCTGTTCTAGTTCTGTTCTAGTTCTGTTCTAGTTCGCTTCTTAGTTCTGTTCTAGTTCTGTTCTAGTTCTGTTCTAGTTCTGTTCTAGTTCTGTTCTAGTTCTGTTCTAGTTCTGTTCTAGTTCTGTTCTAGTTCTCTTCTAGTTCTGTTCTAGTTCTGTTCTAGTTCTGTTCTAGTTCTGTTCTAGTTCTGTTCTAGTTCTGTTCTAGTTATGTTCCAGTTCTGTTCTAGTTCTGTTCTAGTTTATATTTTTCTAATTTCTAGTTTTACTTTCAAAAATCCATTATTTTACCTGTATAGATGTTAAAATAGCTGATACATCATATGTGGGACTCCATCTATTTTGTAAAATATCCAAACAGATGCCACCATCTGCATAAACATTTGGATGAAATACTTTTGATACAAATCTCACCGTTGGCGGTTTATTTGGATATTCTTCAGTGAATTCTATTGTTAATTTAAATGTACCATCTTCGAATGGTGTATCATGTGGACCGAAAATCACAGCATTCCATATCATAATATTATTATCTGTTGGCGCTCCAGAAACACCAGTTGGTGGATCTTCTTGAAGTCTACAAGAAATGGAAGAAAAAGTAGAATGTTAAATAAAGTAAAAAACAAAATATAAATAATTCATTTTAAGTTAAATTTACATAAGTCAATATTCACTTGTGTCAATGATAATTCATACATTTCTTTTTCATTGTTCAAAGACATTTATGATTCATAAAAGTACTTGCTCTAAAGAGGTTAGGGGTTCAAAATGAAGAGGAAATACATTTAAGGATGAATTATTAATATGTATACAGAAGAATATAGTTGGCAAACAACAACATACATTCTATGATATCTTGTAAACGGTAAGTAAGGGTTTCTGGGTATCTGTTTGCCTTTAGCTTGGTTTATAATTAAAATACATATTTTCTATTAAAACTCAATATCAATTTAAACTGGATTTTTTATTTCTTATTTTTGTTTATTTCAATTGTTAGCAATATGCATAAATAAACAATAAATGAATGACTAAATTCAATCGAAATAGTAATAATATATGAAGAGTAAAGGTATGCATGTATGTAAGACTGTGTTGTATAGAATTGATTGATACAATAAATAAGACATAAATATTTAAAACATTGTTTCATTCTATTGGACAATTTAAGAAAGCATTTTTTTTATTTGTTTGTTGTTTGTTTTCAAATATTATTAATTCTTACTAATCTATACGTCACTATAATATCAACGTTGACGTCAATTAGTCAAATTTATATTTAATTGAAAATTTATTTTGGGAAATCTAAAGTGTCTTGGCTTCATAAAGTCCATTTTGTTTTGCACTTCATTTCAGTATAGCTCTAATTCAGTTTTAGGTTCATTTCTAGTTCAGTTCTAGTTCAGTAGTTCAGTTCTAGTTCAGTTCTAGTTCAGTTCTAGTTCAGTTCTAGTTCAGTTCTAGTTCAGTTCTAGTTCAGTTCTAGTTCAGTTCTAGTTCAGTTCTAGTTCAGTTCTAGTTCAGTTCTAGTTCAGTTCTAGTTCAGTTCTAGTTCAGTTCTAGTTCAGTTCTAGTTCAGTTCTAGTTCAGTTCTAGTTCAGTTCTAGTTCAGTTCTAGTTCAGTTCCAGTTCAGTTCTAGTTCAGTTCTAGTTCAGTTCTAGTTCAGTCCTAGTTCAGTTCTAGTTCAGTTCTAGTTCAGTTCTAGTTCAGTTCTAGTTCAGTTCTAGTTCAGTTCTAGTTCAGTTCTAGTTCAGTTCTAGTTCAGTTCTAGTTCAGTTCTAGTTCAGTTCTAGTTCAGTTCTAGTTCAGTTCTAGTTCAGTTCTAGTTCAGTTCTAGTTCAGTTCTAGTTCAGTTCTAGTTCAGTTCTAGTTCAGTTCTGGTTCAGTTCTAGTTCAGTTCTAGTTCAGTTCTAGTTCAGTTCTAGTTCAGTTCTAGTTCAGTTCTAGTTCAGTTCTAGTTCAGTTCTAGTTCAGTTCTAGTTCAGTTCTGTTCTAATTCAGTTCTGTTCTAGTTCTAGTTCTAGTTCTGTTCTAGTTCAGTTCAGTTCAGTTCTGTTCTAGTTCAGTTCTAGTTCTTGAACAGTCCTAGTTCAAGTCTAGTCCTATTTAAGATCAATTCTAGTTCTTGAAAAGTTCTAATTCTCGAACAGTTCTAGTTTAAGATCAGTTCTAGTTCAAGTCTTGTCCTATTCAAGGTAAGTTTTAGCCCAGTTCTAGTTCTATTCGAGATCAATTTTATTTCTATTCATGATCAGTTTTAGATGAATTCAAACTAACTATTCTTCTGATCTTCATTTTATTCAATACAATTAAACAAAAAATCGCAATTTCCGTAATTTTTAATTTTCCTTTAGTATATTCATTGAAAAATATAATAAATATTATTAGATCATAATCTTTACAATAATCAGTCATACATCGTTCTTTTTTGCAATTTCTATATTTTTTTCTTTTTAATTTTTGAACTTATGACGAAATTTCTTTGTTTTATAGAAAATAAAATAAAAAAACTTCCGACAAAAGAATTTAAATGATTGTTGTGATAAAATAAAACAGAAATACAATTAATAAATATTATTTTAAAGATGCCACACGACTTGTTTTAGCACCTACACGAAAATTTTGAATTTTAAATTAAATGTAAATAAAGGAAATGTTTTCTTAAAAATATATACAAAACAAAGAAGAAAACGAATGTTAACACAAAAATTTAAATGATTCATGAAAAAATAAATGGTTTTTACTTTGAAAAAATATTAAAATTTCTTTCAATAATTAATTACAAATAGAATAAAAGAAAATTTATCTTGTATTAAACACTACAATTTTCATTTGCAATGCCTACGTAAACGAAGAATATACATAGTTATTATACAAAGAAATAAATGCTTAAAGTTGAATGAAGAATAATAGTAATGAAAACCCAAAATAATAAATTAAATGAACCATCAATTTCAAAATGATTGCATCAGGTGCCATTGTATTGCAGTTGGTTGTTAGGTTCATTTGTGTTTTATTTCAAACAAGTACAAGTTATAGTCCGTAGTACACAAGTAGTTGTATTTGAGTACAACGTTTTCAAAACTTATTGCATGTTGGCTTAAAGCCAGACATTAATTTTTTTCTCTTTATATTTTTTTTTTTTTTTTTTTTGGTTTGTATTATTACATTTTTCAATTCATTAAAACGTTGAACTTGTTAAAAATAAAAAAGCTTAAACATCTGTCATAGAAAAAGAAAATACTACAACGACGACGTCAAGTCAATAAATAACGTTTTACAAAAAGAACACCGGCACGGCAGGGGTCACTTGTTGAACGTCGTCATCTATTTGTTTAGAAAAGTAAATAAAACAAATTTTTGCGCCCTTTTCTGCACTGTACTATAGTTAATAAATATGAAGTACTTATATGTATAATTCCTTAAGTTCTAGTTCACTTCTAGTTCAGTTCTAGTTCAGTTCTACTTCAGTTCTAGTTCAGTTCTAGTTCAGTTCTAGTTCAGTTCTAGTTCAGTTCTAGTTCAGTTTAGTTCAGTTCTAGTTCAGTTCTAGTTCAGTTCTAGTTCAGTTCTAGTTCAGTTCTAGTTCAGTTCTAGTTCAGTTCTAGTTCAGTTCTAGTTCAGTTCTAGTTCAGTTCTAGTTCAGTTCTAGTTCAGTTCTAGTTCAGTTCTAGTTCAGTTCTAGTTCAGTTCTAGTTCAGTTCTAGTTCAGTTCTAGTTCAGTTCTAGTTCAGTTCTAGTTCAGTTCTAGTTCAGTTCTAGTTCAGTTCTAGTTCAGTTCTAGTTTAGTTCTAGTTCAGTTCAGTTCTAGTTCAGTTCTAGTTCAGTTCTAGTTCAGTTCTAGTTCAGTTCTAGTTCAGTTTTAGTTCAGTTCTAGTTCAGTTCTAGTTCAGTTCTAGTTCAGTTCTAGTTCAGTTCTAGTTCAGTTCTAGTTCAGTTCTAGTTCAGTTCTAGTTCAGTTCTAGTTCAGTTCTAGTTCAGTTCTAGTTCAGTTCTAGTTCAGTTCTAGTTCAGTTCTAGTTCAGTTCTTGTTCAGTTCTAGTTTAGTTCTAATTCAGTTCTAGTTCAGTTCTAGTTCAGTTCTAGTTTAGTTCTAGTTCAGTTCTATTCTCTAGTTCAGTTTAGTTCAGTTCTAGTTCAGTTCTAGTTCAGTTCTAGTTCAGTTCTAGTCAGTTCTAGTTCAGTTCTAGTTCAGTTCTAGTTCAGTTCTAGTTCAGTTCTAGTTCAGTTCTAGTTCAGTTCTAGTTCAGTTCTAGTTCAGTTCTAGTTCAGTTCTAGTTCAGTTCTAGTTCAGTTCTAGTTCAGTTCTAGTTCAGTTCTAGTTCAGTTCTAGTTCAGTTCTAGTTCAGTTCTAGTTCAGTTTTAGTTCAGTTCTAGTTCAGTTCTAGTTCAGTTCTAGTTCAGTTCTAGTTCAGTTCTACTTCAGTTCTAGTTCAGTTCTAGTTCAGTTCTAGTTCAGTTTAGTTCAGTTCTAGTTCAGTTCTAGTTCAGTTCTAGTTCAGTTCTAGTTCAGTTCTAGTTCAGTTCTAGTTCAGTTCTAGTTCAGTTCTAGTTCAGTTCTAGTTCAGTTCTAGTTCAGTTCTAGTTCAGTTCTAGTTCAGTTCTAGTTCAGTTCTAGTTCAGTTCTAGTTCAGTTCTAGTTCAGTTTCTAGTTCAGTTCTAGTTCAGTTCTAGTTCAGTTCTAGTTCAGTTCTAGTTCAGTTCTAGTTCAGTTCTAGTTCAGTTCTAGTTCAGTTCTAGTTCAGTTCTAGTTCAGTTCTAGTTCAGTTCTAGTTCAGTTCTAGTTTCAGTTCTAGTTCAGTTCTAGTTCAGTTCTAGTTCAGTTCTAGTTCAGTTCTAGTTCAGTTCTAGTTCAGTTCTAGTTCAGTTCTAGTTCAGTTCTAGTTCAGTTTCTAGTTCAGTTCTAGTTCAGTTCTAGTTCAGTTCTAGTTCAGTTCTAGTTCAGTTCTAGTTCAGTTCTAGTTCAGTTCTAGTTCAGTTCTAGTTCAGTTCTAGTTCAGTTCTAGTTCAGTTCTAGTTCAGTTCTAGTTCAGTTCTAGTTCAGTTCTAGTTCAGTTCTAGTTCAGTTCTAGTTCAGTTCTAGTTCAGTTCTAGTTCAGTTCTAGTTCAGTTCTAGTTCAGTTCTAGTTCAGTTCTAGTTTAGTTCTAATTCAGTTCTAGTTCAGTTCTAGTTCAGTTCTAGTTCAGTTCTACTTCAGTTCTAGTTCAGTTCTAGTTCAGTTTTAGTTCAGTTCTAGTTCAGTTCTAGTTCAGTTCTACTTCAGTTCTAGTTCAGTTCTAGTTCAGTTCTAGTTCAGTTCTAGTTCAGTTCTAGTTCAGTTCTAGTTCAGTTCTAGTTCAGTTCTAGTTCTAGTTCAGTTCTAGTTCAGTTCTAGTTCAGTTCTAGTTCAGTTCTAGTTCAGTTCTAGTTCAGTTCTAGTTCAGTTCTAGTTCAGTTCTAGTTCAGTTCTAGTTCAGTTCTAGTTCAGTTCTAGTTCAGTTCTAGTTCAGTTCTAGTTCAGTTCTAGTTCAGTTCTAGTTCAGTTCTAGTTCAGTTCTAGTTCAGTTCTAGTTCAGTTCTAGTTCAGTTCTAGTTCAGTTCTAGTTCAGTTCTAGTTCTTCTAGTTCAGTTCTAGTTCAGTTCTAGTTCAGTTCTAGTTCAGTTCTAGTTCAGTTCTAGTTCAGTTCTAGTTCAGTTCTAGTTCAGTTCTAGTTCAGTTCTAGTTCAGTTCTAGTTCAGTTCTAGTTCAGTTCTAGTTCAGTTCTAGTTCAGTTCTAGTTCAGTTCTAGTTCAGTTCTAGTTCAGTTCTAGTTCAGTTCTAGTTCAGTTCTAGTTCAGTTCTAGTTCAGTTCTAGTTCAGTTCTAGTTCAGTTCTAGTTCAGTTCTAGTTCAGTTCTAGTTCAGTTCTAGTTCAGTTCTAGTTCAGTTCTAGTTCAGTTCTAGTTCAGTTCTAGTTCAGTTCTAGTTCAGTTCTAGTTCAGTTCTAGTTCAGTTCTAGTTCAGTTCCAGTTCAGTTCTGTTCCAGTTCTACTTCAGTTCAGGTTCAGTTCTAGTTCAGTTCTAATTCAGTTCTAGTTCAATTCTAGTTTAGTTTTAATTCAGTTCGGGTTCAATACAAGTGAACTGCACTTGCATTGAGAAAAAAACAGAAGATTAGTGTCATGTAATCTTTTTAATATTTTATTATTTCAAAATGAAAGAGTTAATTGTGAAATTTAAAATTCTCTTATTTGTTAAATTATTTAATATATTTATTATGTATTTTTGTCACAATTTGTCTACTCTCTAATGAACTAATGATGACCTTTTTTGATAAACAACATGCACAAAATACATATTTAAATTGTTATAAAGTTTTTATATTAGTATCATCATCATCATCACTATAAATTCTAAATTATAACACTGTTTCCACACACATTTAGGAAGATTTTTCTCTATATTACTAATATAAAATTTCAAGGTATCTTAGAAAATAAAGTGATATATCTTTGAATACAAGGATTTAAGTGTACTTCAAAATGTAGGATGTTTTAAAGACACAAATGTATAAAGTCCTCTGAAAGAAATTTAAAAAATCAGTTTATTACTTTACTATTATAAGGAAATGGTGTAGTTTGTTGCAATACTATAATAAATTGCGTGTTCTACTTTTATTAACTAATATTTTTATTATTATATGTATAGACAAATGATATTTCCTTTCCATAATTTTCAATAAATTTCTAAATAAAAAATTACTTTCACTTTTACAAATATTAATTTTTAGGGGTGGAATTGTTACAGTTCTATTTGTAATATAATAAATTAATCATATAAAATTGACCTACAAAATGTCATTTACTTTAGTTCCAATAAAAAACGGGGTAAATATAACATAAATATTTAATCATCAAGAAGTAAAATACAAGTTTAGACATATTGTTATTTATCATAGACAAATAGAGACGTTTGCAAAAATTATTATAATAAAAAATAAAATGATTGTAAAACTTTAAAGAAATTGTTATTTACTGTAGTTAAAACTTTATTTTTCCAACACTTTTGGTAATAAAGATAATTTTAAACAGAAAATAGAATTGGACCACATATTATGAATAGGTGTAAATATCTTGCGGGGTTATCAGTTGCGAGGCGTTTTGGCTTATGTTGGGGACGTGCGTGCTTAAGTCAAGAAGTAACTTTTAACTAGACAAAAGCCATGACTATAGATTTGACCGTAGGCTAGACTTTAGACTAAACTATAGACTATACTATAGACTAGACTATAGACCAGACTATAGACTAGACTATAGACTAGACTATAGACTAGACTATAGACTAGACTATAGACTAGACTATAGACTAGACTATAGAATAGACTATAGACTAGACTATAGACTAGACTACAGACTAGACTAGACTATAGACTAGACTATAGACTAGACTATAGACTAGACTATAGACTAGACTAGACGAGACTATAGACTAAACTAGACTATAGACTAGACTATAGACTAGACTATAGACTAGACTATAGACTAGACTATAGACTAGACTATAGACTAGACTATAGACTAGACTAGACTAGACTATAGACTAGACTAGACTAGACTAGACTAGACTAGACTAGACTATAGACTAGACTAGACTATACTAGACTATAGACTAGACTATAGACTAGAATATAGACTAGACTATAGACTAGACTATAGACTAGAATATAGACTAGACTATAGACTAGACTATAGACTAGACTATAGACTAGACTATAGACTAGACTATAGACTAGACTATAGACTAGACTATAGACTAGATATAGACTAGACTATAGACTAGACTATAGACTAGACTATAGACTAGACTATAGACTAGACTATAGACTAGACTATAGACTAGACTATAGACTAGACTATAGACTAGACTATAGACTAGACTATAGACTAGACTATAGACTAGACTATAGACTAGACTATAGACTAGACTATAGACTAGACTATAGACTAGACTATAGACTAGACTATAGACTAGACTATAGACTAGACTATAGACTAGACTATAGACTAGACTATAGACTAGACTATAGACTAGACTATAGACTAGACTATAGACTAGACTATAGACTAGACTACAGACTAGACTATAGACTAGACTATAGACTAGACTATAGACTAGACTATAGACTAGACTATAGACTAGACTATAGACTAGACTACAGACTAGACTATAGACTAGACTATAGACTAGACTATAGACTAGACTATAGACTAGACTATAGACTACACTAAACTACAACTGTAAACTATGAGTAGTTTATGGTAAACTAGAATGAAAATTAATTATTCTTGGGCAAAGAATGAAATCTGTCAAAGCCAACTTTTCTTGATTAACTATCTACCCATTTAAGTCTTCATTTCCCCGCTAGATGTAAAATTTTGCTAGATTACTTTATAAATTTTTACATAACTACTTAAAATCTTCATAGGTAGTTAAAAAACAATTTTGAACTAATTAGAATGGCAAAACTAATATGAAACTTTGCAAAATTTTATAAACTTACAACAAAAAAACAATTACAATAAAAAACTATGACAAATGTAAACAAAAGAAAACCACTAAATTGACAATATGCATATGACCTTCAAATGTTGATGATTGTTTATAAAACCAAAATAAAAAAATAAATGTTACAAAAATATAATATAATTAACAAAAACATCCTTGACATTTTTCTAGGCAACAAGAAGAAACATCCTTGAAAATAAAAACAACAAAAACTATAAAAATAACAAGGGAATAAATGTATAAGAAAAGAAATACACGAACAGTAAAAGGAGAGACAAATTAAATAAAACAACAAAAGTAAGAGAACAAGCAAATTAAAAGGGAAAATATAACATACAAAGAAAATTAAATAAAATTAAAAATTATAGGTATAAAAAACAGGCATGAGTCAACTAAAGACAAGACAAATGGGAGACTTTTTTATAAAAAATGGCAGTTGCCAAAATTAATGAAATTGTTAAAGTAAATATTGTTTGTTTTTGTTTATAACAGCAAAACAAATAATAACATGGGAAAACAAAAACAATAAAAATAGAAAATTCGGGAAGTAATTTAGTTTTTATAAAACAAAAAACAACAAAAGAATTGCTAAATAAAATTTAAAAAAATATATTCCAAAACATAAATAAAAAAAAAGAGTAGAAGACAAATGAGAAAAAACTGACAAGCAAAAACAAATATAAAGAAACACAACAGTAAAATCATAAGGAGTGAGGGAGAGAGCTAGAGTATACACAGACACATATTTACAAAATGAGAAAAACATTTATTTGATTTTGTATAACTTTTAGGCCCCAAACAGGGGGGAGGGGGTAAAGAAATTACAGCACAAAATAAAAATCACACGTAATTTATCTTTTTTTAGAGAAAATTTTATATTTGAACCATAAAATGCACACACAAATAATTAAGCTATAACAAACAAAAATTAGAAAATTAACTAAATTTTTTGCTTGCAAACATTTTTTGCGTTTTAACTAAACGTTTAGTGATATTCTTATTTATTATACATACCTTTTAAAATCTCTCATAAGACGTCTGCGTGCGGGTGTCGACATTTTCTAAAAAAAACCTTTTTGTGTTTAACCAAAAAAAGTGGTGGCCTTTTTTTCTGTTAAAATGTTTCTTTTATTTGTTAATAACACAAAACGCAATTAAATTTTGTTGTATATTTCTCTTTCACTTTCTTCTGCTTATAATTGTTTTTTTCTTGTATCGTTACGAATTCCTACAAAAATAATTATAATTCAGTCTTTTTGCTTTTTGATTTCTCTTCTTAACACACTTCAAAAGTTTCTATTTGGCGTTTTTCAGCTTTTCTTCACGTCTTCAACTTAACACGAACAAAATTTAACTAAAAGTCAACGAAAGTTTTTACATGTATTGACAAAAAAGCACACAAACACACGCACACACAGTCAATCAAACTCTGACAAACATTTCTAATAATGTTGCCACCTCTAAAAAGCTAGTATTTTTCGTTCTTTCTGGCTCTATTTGATAGTTAAATTCTAAATAAAGCAACAAAAAACTTTATTAAATGATTAATTATCAAACAAATTTGTTAAAATTAAATTAAACAATTGCTTTCAAGATTTTAACAAGTTTGTTTTTCTTTTGGCTTTTATTTCTGGCAACACCATTTTCTCAAAAACAATCACTATTCATACACAGGCATACACAAATATAAACATTTTACATGCAAAGGAAAGAGTGCAGTATATAGAAAACTTAAGATTTAGCTTATTTTTTGTAGATAAGAAAAGATACGCTATATGTACATTGTACAACAACAAAAAATTTGCAAACGTTTCCTTCTAATGTTCAATGTTAAAAATGGTCAATGCTTAATATATTTTTTATTTTCTCTAATTGGAATATAGGGTTTTCTTCATTATTTTTTTAAACGTTTAAAGTGTTTGTCCCCAATTAAATATACTTGATTTTTATACACCACACGTTTTAAAATATCACAAAAAATATAAATTTGCCGACTGAACGTCAGAATCCTGCGTCGCCAACATTAACGGATTCAATTTACACCAAAAATTTTGGCGGCGGCTTAAAATCGTCCCTAAGCCGGCTAAGATATTAGGTGTGTTTTTAACATTTTCAACGATATTAAATAAAAAGAAAATCTGAATGTTCGTTTAAATGATTTTCGGTAGTGAATCTTATATGAGAGCTATGGCCAATTATGGACCGATCTAGGTTTAAGTTGATAAATAGTGTTGTAATACAGATATTCTAGAGGGAGTTACTTATTAACAATAAATCTATTTTTCGGGAGTATATAAATTTGTATAGTAGTTAATTATATGAAATTTTGAATCAAATCTAATAATTTTCAACTTGTGACAAAATTTATTGAATTAACACTTTAGTTTGTGAAAAAACGAATGTTGAATTAGAAACATAATATTTTCATAAGTTGTTTCCAAAATTTTCTCCTATATCCGTCATTTATGACCGATTTAGATAATTTTAAATAGCAAATTTATCGAAAGCATGTCTGATAGAATTATTGAAGATTAGGGTTTAGCAGATATCTTAGGTCTTCCGAAATCGAAAGAATCGAAAATCACTTATAAATTTAGTTAAGGTTCTATGAATTAAGTTTTAAACAAAGAAGTTTTTGTAAAAAAAAGCTATCTATTTTCTCCCATTTAAATATCAATTTCGAAAGTCGTTCAAAAAGACGGCAATCTAAAAATCGTGAAATAATATAATTTAAAAAATTTTTTAAAAGACAACATTTTTTAAACTGCGAAAAACTTTTAAAGATGTTTCACTTAAAAAAAACTCCTTGGCAACCAATGGCGCCGAGCTATTGTTACCTCTCAATAACGAGAAACAAATTTCTTATTTATAACAATATATAATATAATTCCCCCCTAGCCCTCTATATTTTGTTTAATCGTTATTACCTTTAAAGCGCTATTAACGTTATCGAAGTTTGCTAAAATATCGTTGCCTTGATTTCCTAAGTACTTCAAATAAACCTTTAGAAAACATGTAAATGTTTATGTATTTAATTTTTCGATAGAAAACATTTTTGACAGGATTTCAATAGAAACGTTTTTAATAGAAAAACATATTTTAACAAACCTTTAACTTTAACGTATATGTTTTGTAATTTACTTGCTTTACTACTATAAAATACAACCCTGACATATAAAAACATGACAGTTGTCACATATAACTTTCTTACTCACTCACTCTCACAACTCCAATCAGAGAGAGTGAGAAGAGAGGCTTTGTACAGTTTCAATTAATTTGTTTACATTTTACAATTCAACATTCTTAAAGAAACGAAATAATTAAAAAGAAATATTAATTTAATTCATTTAAATTAAACGACAAATAAAGAAATATAAAAACATCAACTTAAAATTAAAATAAAAGGTAAGAAAAACAACAAGTAATAGTAAAATTAAACTAGAATAAACTGAATAAAACAAGAAAACAAAAACCTGGGCGTGTTCCCAAAAACAAATGAATGACAGATTTCTATGAATGAAAACAGATTTATGAGTGAGACATGCCTCTGCGACAGACTTATAAATTAATAGAATAATTTAAAGAATTTACAAAAAACTATAGTATTTTTTAACTTTTTAGCAATATGGTGGTTTTAAATTCTTGTTGGTCTCCCATAATATGGTCGAATAATGTTAGGACCGGCAGCTATGCGGTGGCAGCTTATACAGCAGCTCTTTCCGTGATACTCATAACTATGGTGGGTATTGTTGGTTTCGTATTTTGTAAAAAAGTTAAAATATTAATAAATTTATTTATTTGTACTATATTATAGATTGTTTATATGCTGTGTGGTGGTGAATCGTCTCAATTATATTCTCCTTTATTTGAAACTGATATACGCAGCTCCATGCCAATAGTGGGAGGCTTTTTTATATTCTATTTTGTTTTAATCATTATAGCCTCTTATTTGGTATTCTATGGCATTAAAATAAGGTAAATGTGAAGAAAATATTTATAAAATTATATAATTTTTGTGATAAATTTAAATAATTTCTTTCAAATTTAGTGTACGCGGCTGGCTTTTACCCTGGTTAATCTTGGTGGGTGTAGCCATTTTATTCCAATTGATTTTTGGTTTATGGCTTATTGGTGGCTACTATATATACGTAAGTTTAACTAGCTTTCTATTAAATTAAGAAAAATTAAAGTTTTGGTTTTATATTAATTTCCTAATAGCTGGAGCAGACCTTTTCCGCTTTGATTAACTTCTGCTGGATGGCCTATAATGTAAGTTGCTTTTAATATTTCCTTTTAAATCGTTATTAAAATGTAATTCTTTTATTTTAATTTCAGTTCTATTGCTGGCTGTGCGTTTTCTCTCAGTATCAAATATTTTTAGAAATTCAAAATCCCAATATAGAGCTTTTAATGCCTTAATCAGTTTTCCCTTGCACTTGAATCAATTTTTTTGTTCAAATTATTTTAGTTAATCTCTTAATTATTTGTGTATGCATTTTTTTTGTAATGTTACATTTTATTACACATTTTGAGTGTAATTTTTAACAGTAACTTAAGTATTTTTAATTAAGGTTTTATAAAACTATTAAGACTAATATATTTTCTCCAACATTCCGTCCATTTAATGTGAAAATTATTGTAAGTTTTGTGGCCTTTTTGACATATCACAGTGTTCCATAATCTTATCGAAATGTATGTATTTGTAGTTTTTATACAAATTATTAATATAGTGAAATAAAATAATATTTTTCTTAAATTAAAATTTGCGAAAAGTTTTTCAATCCATATACGAATGGCAGGCTTTAAAGTTAATCATTCCGAATATAAAGCTGGGCTAAGCGGTAAATTGGAATTTATGTTAAATCTTATTTGCAAGTCTCCTCGCAGTTTCTCTTTAAGTTCTCGCTATTAAACATTTTGCGACAATAATGAAGAAGTAAGGAATGTATTTTATATAACGTCACCTAAAACGCAAACGGCCCTATCTAACATTTTTAAAATTTTACAGAAGAAGCAAAAATCTTTTTGAATTGAACATTTTGTTTTGTTTTATTAAACAAACGACATTTTTATTAGTGAAACTTATAATTTGTTATAATAGTTGACAATGGACTATATAACAATGGACAAATTGTACTTTTAACCTTTAATATTCAAATGTTTTTATAGATAGGTCGCTTTGTTTTTTGTCAATAAATTCGCAAATTTTGGTCGGAGGAGTCCAATTTTTTTTGAGAACATTTGTTTTGATGCAATGCGTTACAATCAGCTATAAAATCGATTTTGAGTTTTTGGTTAGTTAGGGCCGTTTGCATTTCAGATGACGATATATTCAAAAAATATGTATATTACGTATGGAACTAAATCCAATTTCGATCAAACTGCAAACTTAAACATTTTAGAATTATAATTTTAATCATCCTGAAAGTATGCAAACTATATTACATTACAATTATGCTTAACAATACAACATGTAAATGATAATGCAGGATATCGATAATGCAGTACTTTTAAAAAGCAAAATAGAAATATAAATAAATAACCGAAACAATCTCTGATCACATTTATTTCAAACGACTTTTTGAGTGAAAACATAAAAGTCCACTTATCTTAAAAACTACAAGGAATACAGCCAAAACAATAATGATCTATGATCACTTTTATTTCGAACCAAAAATCGAGTTTTTGAGTGAAAACATAAAAGTCCATTTATCTTGGAAGCTAGAAGAGATAGAGCCAAAACAATGTGATCACTTTTATCTTGCACAAAAAAAATCTATTTTTCGAGTGAAAACATAAAAGTCCATTTATCTTGAAAATTACAAGGGATACAGCCAAAACAATGATAATCTGCGATCACTTTAATTTATAACCAAAAATCGATTTTTTGAGTGAAAACATAAAAGTCCATTTATCTTGGAAACAAGAAGAGATACAGCCAAAACAATGATAATCTGTAATCACTTTTATTTCGAACCAAAAATCGATGTTTTGAGTGAAAACATAAAAGTCCATTTATCTTGGAAACTAGAAGAGATACAGCCAAAACAATGATAATCTGTGATCACTTTTATTTCGAACCAAAAATCGACGTTTTGAGTGAAAACATAAAAGTCCATTTATCTTGGAAACTAGAAGAGATACAGCCAAAACAATGATAATCTGTGATCACGTTTATTCTGAACCAAAAACCTATGTTTTGAGTGAAAACATAAAAGTCCATTTATCTTGGAAACTAGAAGAGATACAGCCTAAACAATGATAATCTGTGATCACTTTTATTTCGAACAAAAAATCGACGTTTTGAGTGAAAACATAAAAGTCCATTTATCTTGGAAACTAAAGAGATACAGCCAAAACAATGATAATCTGTGATCACTTTTATTTCGAACCAAAAAATCGATGTTTTGAGTGAAAACATAAAAGTCCATTTATCTTGGAAACTAGAAGAGATACAGCCAAAACAATGATAATCTGTGATCACTTTTATTTCGAACCAAAAATCTATGTTTTGAGTGGAAACATAAAAGTCCATTTATCTTGAAAATTACAAGGGATACAGACAAAACAATGATAATCTGCGATCACTTTAATTTATAACCAAAAATCGATTTTTTGAGTGAAAACATAAAAGTCCATTTATCTTGGAAACTAGAAGAGATACAGCCAAAACAATGATAATCTGTGATCACTTTTATTTCGAACCAAAAATCGATGTTTTGAGTGAAAACATAAAAGTCCATTTATCTTGGAAACTAGAAGAGATACAGCCAAAAAGTCCATTTATCTTGGAAACTAGAAGAGATACAGCCAAAACAATGATAATCTGTGATCACGTTTATTCTGAACCAAAAACCTATGTTTTGAGTGAAAACATAAAAGTCTATTTATCTTGGAAACTAAAGAGATACAGCCAAAACAATGATAATCTGTGATCACTTTTATTTCGAACCAAAAATCGATGTTTTGAGTGGAAACATAAA